TTAAATTTTTTATAATTAACAAAATAATTAAACTTACTAAATCAATACAAAAATTTGTATATATAACCTATATTAACAAAACTTTCAATTTAATAATTGATTTTTAAAACCTTCCACAAGGAGTAATTTCTTTAGCTCGAGACAGCAAATATCATATTGCCAGCTCGAGCGAAAAAATTACGTCACAAATTTTTTTAACTTGGTGGAGTGATGGTGCTATACAGTTGGGCAGTGGAGGGTAAAAGTGGAAAAAGGGTATTAATGGAACCTTGAATTTTGAAAAACAACATATGAAACGGAACAAAATTTCCTCCTTAAAAGAGCCGAACATTTAGATTTAATTGTTCATTTTTTAGTATTAATACTTATATTACATTGATTAAAAATTTGATTCTCATTGACAACTTGATAATTTCTAGATCTGACAATTTTTTACCCAACCCGTTAACCCGTCCATTACTCGCCCGTTTAAAACGATAAGGGTCATATATTTATGACCCATGACCCGTTAATAACCCGTTAAGAGAACCCAACGGGTCACGAGTCAATAACGGGTTGATTCATCTGGTTAACGGGTTTGATCCGTTTACCCGTTTAAAAATATAAAATTTTTTAATTTATTATTATTTATTTTGTTTCCCGATTCCCAATCCCACCTAAACCTCTAATAATTGATTAATATTCCCTAATTAACTAATTGATTTTCTTGACTCATCATCTTCTAGAAGTAAAAATAATCCCACTCCACTCATAACTCATCTTCCGACCCTTCCTATTCTTGCTTGCCCTAATACTCTCGAAGACTCTAACTCTTCAAACTTCTAATTCTTTTCATATTTTTCAACCTCCATAGTTTATACAGCCTTTGATTTTCAAGCTTCGACTCCACCTTTTCTCTTTAGTCTTAAACATTATTTCAGACTTAAATCTTAGTTTTATCGAGTCACCGTTGCAACCACTCAGCCTTTTCTTTTTTCTCCTATGAGTCCGGCAAGTGATCTTTTTATCACCAACTTTTCTCTCTAAATACTTCAAAGTAAGTTGTTTACTTATTTATACTTTTTAGTTTTCTTTCCATTCCAAGTAAAAATTTTACTTGATTTTCTCCTTTACTTACTTAGATGCATTCAATTGATTATTCTTTGAAAGCAATGACCAAAACAAATATGTTTCAATGGGATTTGTGTTTTT